CGGTCCAAGAAAATCCATTACTAGAACATTGTATTCTCCCTCGACACCGAACCATCTTGCATTTGGTATTCCAGCTGCAATTTAAGAACTATTGTAATTAGAACCCTAATTTAACTGACAAGAGTTCATTTAAGACCACTAATGAAAAAGGAACTATCAATGGTGCTTACTTCCGCCCTGCAGAATCCTGTATAACTTCGACTCGTACAGTAACTGAGGATGTTTTGTCTTGACATTTTCCTGAAAGCTTCATCAAGAGTATCGGAAATGTAATCTCATAGAATAGAGGATGAATAGACCCTCATAAAACTAAAAAGCATACTGACCATGAATTGTCAAACTAAAGAAAATAAACATATGCAAGTTAATAGCATAGCATAACAGTCTTGGCATGTCGCCAGGATGTAGAAAGTGATATCTGCGCATTTTCTTCTTTAATTCCAAATCGAACCGATAAAATATTTAAAATGACATTTTATGTTCACTTGCTATTTATTTAGTGAAATACATATTTTCACATCCAAGGACGGAGTTGGCACGCCTGTGACTGTGAAATGGGAGTTGGAACCGCAGGTAGGCAGCACTGGCGACTGTGAAATGGCAGATGAAATGAAGAAAATGAGACCATTTGAGCCATTTTTTTAGGAATGGACATTTGTTTTGGGCCCCCTTTTTTTATAAAAAAAACATTTGGCCCGTTGCTTGTGGAGTCCAAATAGGCATTGATTCAATCAGATTTGGTATTACAAATTCAATTTCCAATTTTCCACCCTTTCTCAGATTGCTGATCGCCATGGACTTGGATTCTTACTTGTGACCTGCCAGCTGCCTTGCTGCCGACTTCCTCCGCCGAGCTTTAGCCTTTGACTATATATTTTCATGTGTGTATTTGTCTTCTTAAACTTCAAAAAAAAATTAAAAATTAAAAATTAAAAATTGAAAATACTCCTAAATTTGGGATTGCTCGCATGTAAAGAAGTTCTATAATTTGTGAAAAGATGAAATTGGAATTTTAGTTCCTGCTTCCATGTTTACGTATAATCCTTCTGCTAATTATGTGAATGTTATGATTTTGATGATTATGAATTGATTGGTGATTTGGAATTTGGAATTTTGGTTCCTGATATTGATGATATATAATTTGTGCAAAGCTTTGCTTGCTTCCAGGTTTACCTATAATCCTTTATTTAATTTTGATGCTTTAATTTGATTGGTCATTTAGTACGTGAATTGTTATGATTTAAGATTTATGAAAATTGGGGAATTTGTGAAAATTGAGTTTGTGTCATGTAGTTTCTTATTATTTTGGGTTATATTGGATTATATTTTTGTATGTATATGATTTTTACGTTTTAGTTTATTTATATATCAAATAAAGAATTTTTTATATTATTTAATTAAATATTAATAAATGATCTCGCTATTGCGGTCATTGACGATCGACGACTGCCCTAACTCACCAACAATCCTGGATCCGTTCCCATTAACACCGATCCATTTTTCATTCAAATTAGTGAAATTACAAATATTAAGACATCACTATTGGGTAAGAATCCCAGAAGAACACCACTCACCACAACAAGAATTTCCATTACTTCCTCCTGAAAGAAAGTTGAACCACGGCTATACAATTACAACAAAAACACATTTACACAGTACCCACTTTGCAAAAGGAGTATCAATTGCTGTTATAGTACAACAATAGACTGGGAAAAAAATCCAAGTTAAAGCAATATTAAACTGGTAATCATGTTGTAAATAATTCTCCCATTTATATTCGACATTCCATTTCTATGCATTTCCTCCTAAAGCATCAGGGATTCCAAAGATGGTAGGATTTCATTGTCACGTTCATAATAGAGTAACAAAATAAAGCACCACCACGCTTTTAACCACATATAAAAAAGCGTTCATATTAGCACTGTGGAGGATAGGGAAAAAAATCAACCAGTCAGAGAAAGCCATGATCTTCAATTGACAAGATTATGTGTCTTAAATCACAAACAAATAAAAGATTCTTATAATAAAGCCTATTAAAACAGAATCTAGGCTAGTAAATGGTTTGGCCCTAGCCGAGCAAATGAAAGAACTAAACAAACACGACAATTCCATACTACTCAAAAACTCCGAGGCTTGTTGAATGCTCTCATTTCTCAGTTTAAGCACCTAACCCATTACTAGGTTCAGTGTCCGTAATACTCAAAAAACTAATTTTAATTGCATTTAACAGTAAACGAGGTACCTTACATCACATTTCCTCTGAATTTACCAATTTTAGAAAACCTAAACTTGCATAAACTGCAAACTGTCCCCAGAAAGGGGGAAAAAAGTTAATTCTATCAGATATTCCAAAAGTTCTCAGCCAGACCGTTAAATACATAACTATATGGAGACAACTACATGAATCAGCGATAATCCCTTAAGAACATAGAGGAAAAACTCATCACCTACTAATAAAAAAAATAAAGAACAAAGACTCACGAGCTTAATTGCAACTTCCTCATTTGTTTGTATATTAGTCCCTGCGCCCAGATAAGATCCAATAATGAACACTCAACTAAAAGTCTAAAACCAAAGCATAAATTAAAATATAAACAAGCAAAATTAGATATAATTAAAATAATTACCGAGATAGATCTCTCCAAAAGATCCACTGCCGATTTTCCGACCGAGTCGATACTTATTTCCCACTCGCGGCTCCATTGATAAAACCCCTAGCTCTTTACTTCAGTCACGAAATTCACTGATAACAAACCCTAGAAAAAATCATAAAGATCTAGGCTTTCATACCTTTTCCATTAATTAGTAATTAATGAGTGATCAATTTTCTCTCTTGAAAACTAGTACAGATTCTGTATTGAACGGAGAGAAGAGAGAGAAGAATTTCCATGGAGATTCTCTCTCTACAAACATATCTATGTACTGACTGTCTTGTCGGCCGTTTTCATATAAGAAAGGAAATAATTGCATACTTCCAAGTCACTTTAATCCTCAATCTTTCAATCACATTTGTACAAGGAGAAACAACCATGTTAGAAGTACTGCATGATTTACAAATTCACTTGCTCACTACACACAAGCAGAGTGGGGACCCCCCTGACCGACACGATATTTTTATTCAAGGAAAAAGGACCATGCTAGAAAAAGTACATGATTTACAAACTCACTTACTCACTACACACAAGAGGAGTCCTAACTGTACGCGGGGGGGCTGACAACCCACTTGACCGGCACTCACAATAGTGGGGAACCCACCTTTTAATTAACATTTCTCAAATCAAAAATTACTTTCATGACTAAAAAATTTCTTTTAAACGATTTGAACAAATTTTTGACAATATGTTATCTGTCTAGAATCTACATGTTTATTATGCCTATATTTTAAATGGCATACATGTAGCAAGTGGGTCATTAAAAATGGTATGACAACTCAGTCGATTTATTTGAATTGATAAAAATTCCCTTTGGACATGTCTAAGCCTACCTTTGCTAAACGGTGTGCCTCAACCTCAAACTCGAACTAATCTATCGTTTTATTTTCAACTTTTGATTTATTATTATTATTATGATAGTCTAAGGCCCTAAGCCACCAATTTTCTTTTTTTGTTTTTAAAACAAAAAATGTTTGCCAACTAGACTCCAATCCAATTGTTTCAATTGAATTTATGCATATCTTCTTATTATTTATTCTCATTATAAGAATAATTTGTTTATTTGTTCAGCTACTAACGATAATGACATGTTTTATTTGTGTTGTGATTAAAACTTTTACTGAAACATTCTATAATGCTGATTTTATCTGAACATGTATCAGAATGTCTTTTCATTTTTCCATTAATTCATTTTTGTACCGTGGAGCTTGGAAGCGCTTTTTCCCCCCTTTTCAGCATTACTAAACTAGATTGTGGATGGTGATGACTATACATAGATTGCTCAACTAGGGAATAATGCTCTTGAAGAGTGTCCATTAAAGGAACTCGAAGAAGTTATGGACAAGGCATTCACTTAGGATAGAGAAGAATTCAACCGTACAATTATCTCATCATCATCTGTGGGAATGATGAATCCCAATGGTAAATTCACATTCACCAAGTAAGCTTTTGGTGCGTGCATGGTTGGGGACGAGTTTTGACTTTCTTTTAGATTCAAATCTTATACTCATATGGCCCCATTTACCATATTTGGATGAGTAATGCTATTCATCCCCACTGGGGATGAAAACACAGTCTAGGTGGAGCTAATGTGGCATTAAATGATAGGTGAAAATAAATAAGTCATTTAATTTCACCTTTCATTTCACCTATCATTTACAGCCACCTAAACTGTGTTTTCATCCCCACTGGGGATGAATAACATTACTCTATTTGGATGGCTAACGGTGGCTAGTCAGACATGTGTCTAGGTTACTTTCTAGTGCTTGTCTTGACTACATTTTAGATTCATGCAACTTTGGGTCTTGCCACTCAGCTATCCAACTATCCTGCCCCACTTATGGAGTATGCACCGATTTACTCAAAGTGGTTTATTCGTAATTGCATATTTGTAATGTTGAACAGATTCCAATAGATAAGATCAAACAAGGAATGGCCATTTATTCATTAGTTTCAATATATGAATGCTTCCCAATCTTTCCTAAACATGAAGAGCGTCAAATAGTCACACATGACACTTTTTAGAGGTTTTTGTGCCTCAAAATACCCGTGCACATGGTGAATATTCATCTAAAAGTTTAAGCGGTTAGAGGGATGGAATTTGATTAAGCTTTTCATGAACCAAAAATATCCTCAAGATCAAGACTTAATTAGACTTGATGCAGATGTTCTGAGCAGATATGAGAGCATTCATTCTTGCTAAGACATGCAGAGTATACAAAACACTACATACTACCAACTGTACATTCTTGTTCTGCAACAGAAGTCATTTACTTTGCAAACCAGCAACTCTCTATACAAAAGCATAGAAATGGATGAAAACTAAAAGGATGAACATAACCCCTGAAATTACAACTTCGACACCAGGCACCTGACTGGTTCGACTAGGCTTCTCATATGCATATCCCATTCTGGTAGCTTAGAAATTAAATCCTCCAATTCAAGAACAATATCAGACTGTTTTTTTGCTGTTTCTGCTTCTGCTTCTTCCTCGTAAATCATAATGTCTTCCATCAATTTCTCCCACAGTATGAAATTCTCCGAGTTCAAATATACACTCTCAGACAAAGCTTCAACCTTTTGTTCCTGTATAGGACTCCTGGAATCGTCTGAAGAGAATAATGCTTGTATCTCTGATTGTATTGGTGTCAACTCTTCTTGAACACTTTGATCAATGCTCTTCATTACTCTCCTTTTCTTTTACATCCCAACACTGTTTAGCACATTTTTCTGCCTCCTTTGCTTAATGCACTGCAAAAAGAGAGGATGCGTCAATGCTTTACCAGGAAAACCGCCTTATTTCTCTGCTTCATTTCAGAATTATGCAGACGATCTTCAACGGACTACAGATAATTTTCCGTGTTCTCTTGCTGGTTTCAAGATTTCAGTTTTCAATGTATTTTGATCCTTCCTCAACCTTTCAAGTTCATTTTCTGGCCCGTGCTGGGACGAGTCTGACCAAGATTGTGATGCTTTTGATGAATGGTTTGAGAATGTTGTTTTCTTTTAATTTTCTTCACTTGCTGAAATCCTTCATTCGCGAATTCCCATATATCGGAGTCGATCTTCCTGAAACACTGGACAATTGCATAACAGAATCCCAATTATATTCACAACACAAAATTTTATTCCCAGCTAAAATCATCTTGAAATTATAAAATAGGCAAAACTCAACTCGGAAAATATTTGAATCTTCTGAGCAGAAAGCAATAACCAGAACAAGAAAAACCCAAAAACGTTTGAATTTTATAGACAATCTTGAAGCATTTCATTCTAGTGTCAACCGGAAAAACAGAACCACATAAAAATCAGCACAAAAAGCTACCTAAGGAAAAAAAAATATATAAGTCCTATAATTTTTGAATCAATATTATCTTTTTTCTTCAAATCAGATGGATAATAAGGTTCGTGTAATGATTCTTGATAATTTTTGACAAAATTTCAATTAGTATGTCAACCTAACTCAACCCTCCTCTGTCTGGACTTATATGAATCATTTTTCGCTAGATTAGCAAAACAAAGGGTAAGATTCGTGTCATAAAATTTTACGAGGCTATCAACCTCCTGTATCTTTACCCGAACTTGAGACTTAACTACTAAAACTGGCAAGAGGCCTAGAGTTCACTACAAAAATCAACAGAATTTTTAACCAACTCTTTTCCACAACAAAGTATTCTAAAACAAATAAGCAAAATCGATACACATACTAAGCCTCTATCCGGGCGTAGCTAAATATCAAATTTTTAGTATATTTAAAAAAAAATTATGAAATGTGCAGTTAAAAAATTGATAAAAATTGTCAACCTCTCCTAAAATATGTGATGTAACTTTTGCTTACATTTTTATCAACTTTTTAAGCTACACCAAACAAGGGATAATTGAAGCTTACATAAGTATTTAGTTGTCAAACAAAGCTGGAGAAATTATTATGCTTGAAGTGTTTAGGGAGCAAATCCATGGCGATTTTGTGAGGATCCCAAATGATAAAACTATTCCTTGTTGAACTCCAAGATATTAGAGAATCTGTATTCGGATCGTCCACCATTTCAAATGTCTTCTTCAAGAATGGCGGCTGCGCCACTTTTCTCAGCCCCTCCATAGAATTCGGCAGTTCTGAACAAAACCCTCCACCGCCATCATCGCCACCGTCAAAATTCTCTTCTGCATCAAGTAGTATTTATTATAGGTTCTTTCAGTTCAAACATCACTCTTGGAGTAAAAGGGATAAATATCGGCAGTGTATGTACACTAGTGATGTAGTGAGAGAGTGTACGGATGAGAGAGAAAACGGCGTGCTGTCCAAATTTTGGCCAAAAATGAAATCAGTCAACAACATTTTTGCCATTTTTAGCGTTAAGCTGTGTTAAAAAATTCCATGCCCCATTTCACCCATCCAGTCCGTTAATATTTTTCTAAAATTTCACTATGACCCAAAACTAATTTGTCTGTTTTCAGAAGGGTCCCTGTATACTTTGCAGTTGCACCGCATGCTGCTTCTTCTTCTTCTTCTTTTTTTTTGTATTATTAAAATTTCACTTTTGGTACCTCATTTCCATACATCAACAATGATTTTTCTGGACAAATACATATTTAGTATGCTGTATTTAATAAGACTCAAATTTAATAAAATACTATATAAAACACTGTTAGTGTGTCAAGCATGGTTAGCCTACATCAAGTCATTTTACAATATAAATCTTTAGGATAATTCAAATCTGCAGTTTCACATGAACCTCAACCCACAATTCATACATGGCAAAAGCACGCTTCTATAACAATTGATGTAGAGTAAGTTTTTTTTACATAACCGTGGATGTCCGGGTCAGTTTGCACGCACCTCGACTAATTCCATGGGGCCAATTGATGCAGAGTAAATCAACTGATGAGGAATAAAAAGCTCTTAAAATGATTACAAAAAGAAATGCGTACCCTATCACCAGTGCCCCCACAATTCCTCGTTAGAAGAAGTGAATAATGATCTATAATGTTCTCTGCCAACCATTTCTTCATGTACTATCACCATAAAAAAACCCAAAACATTTGAGGTCTTCGCTGACTTCGTTCATGAATTTCCAGCTTCGCTATTGATGTTACCACGGAAAGCAGGAGAACCAATGGAGCGACTCAATTTAATTTCAGGCTCGAACTTCGCTGCGAATGCTAATGTTGACTGGACAGCCTTCTGTACAGAGCTAGGTGTGTTTAACAAGAGCGATGCCTTCGAAGATCTTGATATACTTGTGCTACATCCAACTGCTGACGGATCTATGGATAGGCCAAAGGGATTGGAAGGCATTTTAGGGGGGATTTGAAGTCTATCCAGTGTAATTTCTTTCTCTTGAACAAATGGTAACGAAATGTTGCCATCATTAGGATGCAAACCAGCTTGATTCTTTACACTAGAATCATCTAATGGACCTTTGTCAAACGAAAGGAACTTAGTGCCCCAAGGTGCAGCAACTGTAGAAGTCCTCTTTGCATTTTCCTTCATATTCTGTACCAAATCCACTGTACTTTCGCTGATTTGACTGTCAACTTGAACATTGTCACAGCTCTTCTGAGAAAAGCGAGCATGTTTTGCTTCAGTTGAATCATCTAATGAAGGCTTCTCAAATTCATTATTCTCGGTTAAAAACAAGCTTGAGAATGTTTTACTATTAGAATCATCTGAGGGGACTTTGCCAAAGGATAAAAAATTTATTCCCACTGGTTTCCTTGGACGCACTGTCTTGGCTAATTCGTTCGGCTTCTGGATGTTGCCTGACACTTTAAACATTGTACCACAGACAACATTATTACCAACATCTGCTTTCAGAGATAAGCCAGCTTGTTTATGCTTACTGGAGTCACCTAGCAATGACTTCGCATGAAAAAGGACATTAACTCCTTTTGGTGCCAGTGCAACAGCTCCTTGCATAGGATTTGAAACATGCTGTTCCACACTGTTACCAGGGGATTCCATGGCGGAGAACTTAGCATCACCATTTTGATGAGAGGTGCCATGAATATTCAAATGCTTATCAGGTTTTGAATTAGTTAGCAAGGAAGGAGTCTTCACTTCAAGTTTGGTCAAATTGGATGCTGTAAAGGAACCTTTTGTAGCTGGCATCATCTGCTGTTGAGACTTCATTTCAGGCTTGGAGACATTTGATGCTGGAGAGCAACTTTCAGCTAGCAGCTGAGTTATTTCAGCACCAAAAAAATAAAAAAAATTCAAATTCCAAATTAAAGTCCTGCTAGAGTACAGAACTGAAAAAACATAGCCAGCCAGTTGAAGAAAATTTGACGGCAAAAACTTACAAAAGATTATTATTACCTTGTGTGAAAACAAACAGTCAGAACCCCTACTGCAAAAACCTTGTGATGTATAATTGTTGCATGGGTACTTGGAGAGTTGATGATCAAATGGGCAGTCATCTCCTTTCATGCAAGAGTGACGTGCAAAATGACAGCATGGCTGTGAAATAATAAAAGCAGTGAGATGTACTTGTAATCAAATTTTAATTGCTCATAACATAATTAACATGATATATGACGATACTACCTCCGTGTAAAAGATTCTACAATTGCTTTGATTCTCGAAAAACTAATTATTATTGATGTGTAAATGGGACAATAAAACGTGATACAAGATGCAAGAGCTTCTGCCAAGATACAACACATAAGACTGGCTACACAAACCAGCGCTAACTTTGTAACATGAAGAACATCCCGGACTTTTTTCTTCTCCAACAACCACACACTTCCCTAGGGTACACTGAAAACATAGTGCACTTCTTCCAGGGGGTTTGAGGGTTTGACAGGGATGACATATATTATCAAATATATGCAAGTTTTAATATCTATGGAAGTACCGTACTTTTCTAAACTATAAGAAGTACTTGGCAAAGTCATTACTTTTATAACAACATGAAGGCTCTATCTTGGAATGGCTGACATGCAACGTTAAGTTGGTAACAAGCTTGTCATATGAAACTAAATTCATGTACAAGACACAAAAGATTCAAAAAACATAGGAATAAGTCCTATTCACCTATCCAAAACAATCTACCCTTTTATTGCCAATCCCTATCCCCTTGAAGACAGGGCAAGTTTCCCAATTATTTCAAACGTGGCTTTATTCAATCAGCGAAAATATTGTGAGGCATTAACAATTAATATGCTAAAAGGAGAATAAAAAGGAATTTTAACCGAAATAACAAGGAAAAGAAAAACGAGAGGTTTATTATTAAATATGGAATAGTGCCCGTGGTTCATACTAAAACTTGAAAGTGAGTAGAGCACAAGCATACCTTCGATTTTGTCAAGGGTATTGTATCATGCGAAAATTTGCACTTCTCACCCTGTAAAAACATAAAAATGGAGTAAGTTTCCAGGTGAAGTTGTATTTTAGAAAAGTCACCCAAAACAATGAGTATTTAAATGTCCAAATGATAAAGATAACAGAGTGTTGAACTCTACAACCTCCAGGCATCTCCCCTTTAGATAGTGGCGGCAATAAGTAATTGTTTTTGTTTTCAGAACTGGTTGCAGCTTTAATCTTTTAACCCCAAGCTTTCTATTCTTTTCGGCTCGCTTGATCCTATCTTTTTTCTGCAAAATAAAATTTCACCAATCAATTGAACTGTAGATAGAAACTATCAGATACGCATTCTGCAATAGAAAAACCTCCAGGAAGAAATTCCCAAGTTAGTGAGTTGTTGTTCTGCTTTAGAGAAAATTAAATAGACAAATAAATTCAATTTTGAACATTGACCTTTTTCTTCTCTCTTCTTTCCTTGGTCAAAGGACCCTTCTTCTTTTTCTTTTTGTCACCACTGGCAGCCTGTACAAGATTTAACATCAAGTTAGCCAGCTACGCAGTCAAATTAAACAGTGAAAGCTTGATTGTGCAGAAAAAATAACAATTGGGGAAACACCAACATTTCTACCAGCTAAAAGTGACTATGAATAGACAGATGCATATATATATATATATATATATATATATATATAACGTAATTAGATGGAAAGATTCAACACAATCCAGAATCTATCGTTTTTATTAATTCTTTTAACCTTACACCTAATATGAACATGCGAACACATGATGATAGGCAGGACCTTTAGTCAAGTAAATACAAAAACCTTGTAAATGATAGAGAAATTTGTCAAGTTCATTACCTATTATTTCATCAGTTTGTAAAATAAAGTCCATGGATATATATGCTTTAAATTTACAGCCAGGTATACCTAGACTTCAACATATCAAGATTTCCTTAAAATTTTTCCAAAAAGATGTATACCAAAGATCCAAAGTTCCAATTTAGGTTAGATGTAGCAGAGAAGTAAAAAACAGCTTACGTTAAGTATATAACAACAAAACCGAAATGCTCCTGTACTTCCAAAAATCGCAAGATTCACTTAAATCTTTGAAATGACACCTTAATATTTCACACTTGAAAAGAATCTTATTCCAAAAGAAAATAGTATATTTTGAATAATTGGAATGGTAGCTCATGTAACCACAACCTCTGATGTAATAATTAATGTTTGAAGATATACACCATGGAAAACACAAAACGAATGCAGAAACTAATAAGAGCTACATAAATATAGTACCTGTTCATTGGGGACAGAAACTTGTTTTTCAACATTATTTTCTTCAAGGATTTCGCCATGTGCAGATGGATTTTCTAAAGAGGCACCTATAGGATCAATGCTTTGAGTGTCCATATCACTATTGTGAACAACAATTTGATATAGACTATCCTGCTTTTTTCTGACAATATCTACCTCCATGGGATCATTATCATCATCCATACTGTCGAAAGCACCACTGATAAAACCTCTATCTTCATCATCCCAAGTGAACACTTCTTTATCAACACCAGAAATCTGCCCCCCTTCCATTGTCCTCTCTTCCAACAGCATTGAATCTTCAAATAATTCATCCATTAAATCATTGTATACCCCAGCTTCTCCTGATATCTCCCCTTCTTCAATCTCTTCATTTGCAGTTACACAATTAGAAAAATCTGTTGAACCTGTATTAGATATAAGTTTCTCGAATTCAATCTCCTTCAGCTGCAACTGATCCTCAACTTCTTTTGACATACTTCCATCTAAACTAGAGCCCTTTTCTTCACAGTTCTCACCAAGTTTTGATGATTCAGAAGCCATATCTATGCCAAAACAAGAGTTTATAGCTTCAAATACCCCCACAGTGCAGACTTCCTTATTCAATTCTGGTTCTCTACAATAACCAATATCCTCCATGTGAAATTCTGGAACACAATTAACATTCTCTAGTTCATCCACAGTCTTGATGGTGCAATCACTAGTCTGTGTTTTGTCTATGACGGAATCTCTATGGATAGTATTATTTGCGAGAGCAACTTGTAGTTGCTCGGGGACACAATTAACACTCTCTAGTTCATCAACACTCTTGATGGCACAATAACTAATCTGTGCTTTGTCTAAGACAGAATCTTTATAGATATTACTATTTGCTAGGGCCACTTGCTCTAGAATACAATTAACATTCTCATTCTCTAGTTCATTAACGCTCTTGATGGAGCAATCACTACTATGTGCTTTGTCAATGACAGAATCTTTATGGACAATACTATTTGCTTGAGCAACTTGCCCATCGACTTCAGTTGCTACATTTGTGTGAATCAAATCCTGTACATCCTTCTGTTTACTACTTAAACCTCTACCCTGTGAGTCAATACTTTCTTTATTCTTATCATCCACCGGTTCTTGTTGAACTAACAAATTCTTCAACTTCATTTCCTTGTGCTTTGTCAATTCATTGTGTTCAGTCACTTGCCCAAATTCAACTGCACCATTATAACCTTTGCAAATGACAGAACAACAAAATTATAAAAATCACGCAACTAAAAGTTTGAAAATAAAAAATTACATGACTGACATTAAATCTCCTACACGGTGTTCCACAATGCCTCTTTCTTCTGTTTACATTATAACATGATTGTGCTTTCTTTTAGAAAGTAAAGCGATCAAGATAAACATCGAAGAAAGAAAGGAAAAACTGCAGCTTCTTAACCTACCAAACCGAACTCAAAGACTTTTACTTTTCACTAGTCGATTTACGTTAGTTTTTTGCACAAGAGAAGATAAAAAGAGAACTGAAACAAAACTCATCACTCAATATTTTGTTTTATATTTCCCATTCAATCTATTTCCAGTGTTACTTCATTTTTAAAGTGATGCATTAAACTTAGTGTCCCTTTTTTTTACTTCCAAGTAAAAGTACTTGCTTTTTCAAAATACCTGAGTAACTTATTTCTAACTTTCACCATTAAAAAAATTAATATTTTAAAACTTACTTCTACATATAAGTAAATTCACTTTAAAGTAGACTTTCTAAGCTTAGCCAAACATGTTCTTTAAGGCCCGAACTCTGAAGATCAATGTACAACACATAAAAAAATATAACTGTAAAAGCAAATTGCGAGAACATATACACACAATATATTACATATAAATATTACCTAGTGTTTGTGCTTGTGCTTGTGCTTGTGCTTGAGGAATTGGTTGCGGGCTCGGCGAGTGTAAGTCGTTCTGACAGTGAGACAGGATATGAATGAGCGAGCAATAAGTTCGGCTACGCAGGGGACGGCGCCGGGCGTATAAAATGTTTTTGGAGGATATTAGGGTTCCCAATTCTGTTGAATTCTCCATTGTTGATTTGCTGTTCTGTGTTGCCAGAACGGGGGTTTTGCAGTATCCGAATTCTCTAGTACTTATAGGTTACCCGAGTTTGGGTCCGGATATTTACCCGGCCAAAGTAAAGTCGGCTTTGAAAGCTCGAGTGGGAAATTTTACTAGAGATTACTAACGTCATGAAAACGGAATCGAACCGGGTCGAGAATCAGACAAATAACCGACCATATTAATATCAAGGATTACAGAATCGGACAAATTTGTGTAGGATTTTTTTGTGAAAGCAACCGACGTTAATTCTTATTAAACATCAAGCATTACAGAATCGAAAATTAAACTTAAGGAATCTCCAACCCACTAAGCAAAAATCGAAAAATGTTTTCTAGCGTGAATGTGAGCCGCACAATTTGCCTCAAGCGGAACAAAGGTGCATTTTAAATATGAAAAAAAATGAAAATTATTAAAATGTATTAGCAATCAAAGCAGCCTCCAGAGCATGGGGAGGAGGTTTGAAAGTGATTTGGGGTTCTGATGTCGGGTTATGGGTTTTTGAGTTTAATATTTTATAAAAAAAAAAAAATGAAAAAGGAAAAACGTGTTTGCATTAAAGTAAAAAACGTGCCCAGCCTTCAAAATACTCGGTTTCATTTTTGAAATTAAAAAAAAAATTAATTTATTTAAAATGTGAGTTGGATATTTTGGGAGAAATTTTTGTGGGATTTTAATCAAAATTATAGCAATTAAAGTCAACCCGTGGGCTCCACCTGTGAGAGGGAAGGTCAAAAATGGTGGCTGATTTGATAGTTAACGGCTAGATTTTTGATTAAAATCTAAAATTTCTCCCAAACAGGGCCTAAATAGAATGATACTTGACTCTGCACAGCACTGAGCATAGTCGGACCAATGTGCTCACGGAAAGTCTACCGATTGAAAGGCTCGCGATCACATCAATATACATAATTTCATAATATTAATCATAAATGTGTATAAAAAGTTTCAATTGAATAGTTCAATCAATAATTAATCATGAATGTGTATAACAAATATATATTCGGCATAAAAGCAAGTCTGAGAATGGAACTTCTCTTGGCAGACCAAAACTTACACATTCAACATTCCAGGCATTTACAGCTCAGCACATGCCTTTAAATGATAGCTCGAACTAAAACAAAAAGGGAAAGCATCTAAAGCAAATCACGTGCAAGCATCTTTTCTAAAAAACCCGAATTATGATGATGACGATGACGACAGTAAAAAACCCGCAACTACACTTTAAATGTTAACGTTCAATCTTTGAGCATATTGATTTACTCTCTATTCTATTCTCTAAAATGAACATTGATTTTTGCCATCTAAGGTAGGTAGTTTCATAATGTTACTTCAGCTCCTGCTTGTATTAGGTGTATTCCTGGTGCCACGGTGGAAGAAATTCGTCATTAATTTGAGTGATTGAATCTTTTCTATTAGCATCTATCCGAGAGAGAAAAACTTGCAACAAATTTAAATAGAATTGAAACAAAAATGTAAGAAAAATCAGCCCATTTGAGTGAAATTATTTCTAATTCTAATTCTAATTCTAATTCCAGACCACCAAATGCAATATAGCTCACAACATTAATTTATCTAATCAAATTCAGTTAGCATTCATAAGCTGATTCTATGTACAAATAAATATTGATGATAAATCTTATCAATAATCAAACGCCATTAACTTGTAATCCCAAAAGTTAACCAACCGTCCACCCCTTTCGCCTCAATGAACCCAAAAGGCAAAATCTTTCACTGCTATTTACTTTGGAAAATGTATGTTCTATGACTTACACTATCCAATTAAACAATGAGTCATGCTTGATGTACACTCTTTGGTGTACATCATGCATGACATTCCTCTTAGAAAGGTGGGGGCCTGCAATTTAAAAAATCATGGGCTCCACACACTTTTGTGAGAGGAGTGTCAAAGTTAATGTACACAAGAGTGTACAAATAACTTTTTCCATTAAACAATAATGAATTCCAAGGGTCAACAATTCCAGCTATCTACTTTGGAATGGCTGTCCTATGACTTTAACTATCCAGACACGAAATTATAAGAAAAATAATAAATATGTGCAAAACCCGAAAAAATAAACCAAAGTTTTCCTCTGAGAAACCATCGACAGTAATGCTTGTTAGTGAAATATAGGGTTTGCAATAAAAACTCAGAAGGAAATCCCAAATCAAATTCAAAATAAATCTCATTAAACTTCTGTGAATGCACTGAATTTTGTTTTTCCAACTCCACTATAGGACCATTTTCCTCACATTGATTCTGATGTACAGTCTCGTGACCTTTCTCTACAGCCTCACCATCAATCACAGCCAAAGCCTGAGGGGTCTCTTGTTCCACCTCCACCCCTAGTGGCTCCTCTCTAATCACAGTACCCACCGTCTTTTTAGCCTTTACAGCCTTCTCTGTCTCTTTACCACTCCCCTCCTTTCTTTTCCATTCGATTTTCTCTTCCGTATTGCCACATTAGAAGCCGCTTTACCCACCCTACGTACCGCCTCAGGGTGTCCGTCTTCCCTAGTTTCTCATATGTTACCTCCTGCCAAATCGTTCTCTGCGTGAAACTGATCAAAAAGCCCTGCACTGGCTCAAGACAAATTTAAAAAAAATACATTCTTTCCACTTTAATGTGCATCAAACACATTCTTAATTATATTATTGTAGAAACGGCAAATTTGTTTCATGCCAGTAGATCGGTTTTAATTATTTCAAGTTTCAATCGATCATTTTGTCCACAGGGATGAATGTTTTTTTAGTAACTTAGAATTATCTTTTTCATATACACGTGGTAAAATATATCGTATTCCCCACCCGCAATGGGTTGAAAACTCACCATCTCGTTGGAATTCAGGTAGGAAGAAACTTCATTCTGTTGACTCTACCAAATATAATAAAACACATTTTTTTTTTCAAAAGAAGAATTTGATCATAACTCAAAAAGAACGCTAGCTATATGATTAGCTCATATAAGTTGAATATTGTTTTAGAGGAGTTGGGTAGAAAGAATAAAAACCTGCGACAGTGTTGTTGGTTGAAGCCGAACGCTTTTTTATAGAGAGAGTCAGGGTCTCGAAATCGTCTCTATCTTATTTTTAGTTTTATTAGTATATTTTTTGAATTTTGATCATATTTAAAAATTTAAAAGTAATAAATAAGTAAATGAGAACCATAAATGAGGATATTTTAATTCTCACTCCACTTCGTCCTTGCCTTCTAAAAATCGCTAATAGGGCGAGGATTACCTCACTCCACAATCATACATTTCTATAATTGTCATAAACGTGTAAATTGACCCATCAAAATTAGAAAATAGAAGAAGCAGGACATTGAATGAGCGACCAATACGAATCAAACTTGTGTCTAGTTAAATTGGCTCTTTAATATCTTCACTCATTTTTAAAAATCGACGTCTTCGATTATGATTATTTCTTAAATGTAATGGCTTATAAATTTAACCTCGTATAAAAGGGAAAAACGTTTTTTAGTTTCTTAGAATTATCATTTTCAGATACACATGGTAAATAAAAATTTGGACGCCTCACGTCTTTGAAATTATAACAAAATGTTAATGGTTAATTTGCTCATTAGTAGAAATTGGGGGACGAAAGTGATATTAATCATTAGATCCGTCACATCAACCCGATAAACAGCCCGATAAAACGGTTCGATTTTCTTAAAACCGCTTACCCATTTAGCAATGAACCGTCCGGCCAACGTAACAGTGATAATTACCCTAAGCTCTGCTCTACCTCTCACTCTCTTACGACTCCCTCGAAATTTTGAAGACTGAAAACCCTTCCAAAATCAATCCATTTCCCTGCCATTCCAGGAATTGAAGCCTTCGATTGAAGTTGTATCGGTGACAAAATACATGTATGTTTAAATTGCTTTTTTTTTTCTGTTATATATAGTTCTTGATTCTCACAGATACAGGAATAGAGCGCGTGTAGAAGAAAAGCAGTAATAACTAATAAGTGAAGGAGGAAATGGTGGTTCGTTTGCGGCTTTCGAGGTTCGGATGCAGAAACAAGCCATTCTACAGAGTAATGGCAGCTGATAGTAGATCGCCAAGAGATGGCAAGCATTTGGAGGTCTTGGGCTACTACAATCCCCTCCCTGGTATATGCTTCTCCAATTGTACTGCCATAGGCAATTTTTCGGCAGTTTCTCTCCATATAATCAAATTTCTTTTGAATGAAAAGAAAAAAAGAACGACTTTTCGTGGTAATAGTTCTACAGAAGTGATTATTATTTCTTTGTGTGGTTTTGTCCTTGTTTTCACTGGAACTGACCGGTATGTTTGTTCTGTGCATTATTCTAATTGTGTTGATGTTAATTTCGAACATAGAAAATTTTAGGGAAGGTACAAAAATTTGAAATTATTGAAACAAACCAACCTCCTTTTCCTTACGTGTTTGAACTTCGACCTCTCCTTCTTCAGCTTGAGCCATTCTATTACAGAGACACTACGAGCTCCTTTTATAGAGATCCCTAGCCATTTTATGGATTCATCACCATTCCTATTATACTGATTGCAATGTGGCGTAATTCCATTTGTCTTATTAAGCACAGTGCAGAGGTGAATTTATATATTTTTTCTGTTAAGTGTTTCTATTTTATTGAATTATGCAGGTCAAGATGATGGTAAAAGAATGGGTCTAAATTTTGATAGAGTGAAGTAAGTGGTTTAGAAATCTTAATTCAAATTTCAGTCTGATTTACAGAAACTTTTCTGCCTCATAACTGTTATCTATAAGTTGTATATCACATACTATTTTGTTTCCGTATGTTCTGATTGTTATGCGTTAAGCAATGTCTGTCCACGGTGACATGCTTGAAGAAGTACAAAATGTATTGAGCTTCTTACATTATTTACTCGTTGCTTCTGAAGTTACACTTTTGTATATTTACAATGTCCTGTCCCTTACTACATACCATGGCTCTTGAAGCAAATACTATCAGTGGTATGGATACTGATAATATTACCTAAGCTATAGAGATCTATCATCTATTTGCTTCTTGAACGAATCTGCTGATAACTATGTAAAACAGTTTTCCCCATTGCTGGAAAAATATCCCTACAGCTTGTTTGGAAAAGAGTTTTTCAAGTGAAAAATGATTTATTTGGAGAACGTGTGGTTAAAAAGTAGGAAGAAGTTATGAATCCTATAGAATGTGTTATTGAAAATGATTTTCAAGAAATATCTCCCAAACAAGCTCTCAGTTATGGTAAAGATCCCCACTTGTAATGTTGATTTCTATAATAAACTAGTCTATCGTAGGTCGTTCTGATTTAATATGCTTTTGCATGGGATAAAAATTAGGAACTGATGTAACTTTTATCCATGTAACTCATGGGTGCCAAACATTTGAAGTAGGACTCAATATTCATATAATGAAATTGAGTTCACTCTGCTTTGGAGTAACAAAAGAAATGGCTTGCTGAAGCTTGACGAACTTTTGGTCAATGTCTTCAAGAAGAAAACACTCAGTCATCAATAATACTTCATCTATGCAACTTTTATTTAATTCACATCTTTGGAGATGCAAATCAGTTGGTTAGGAAAAGATTGAGGGCTTCTTGTTTATGATGCTAGGGAACCATGAAATCTTTCTGGAACTTACTTTACTCTTTCAATTGAATATACAAATTTTCTTTTCATTTTATTTTTTACCTTGAATCCTGATATTTCTGTTAATTGTGCAGATATTGGCTTTCTGTTGGTGCACAGCCTTCGGAACCTACGCAACGCCTTCTTTTCCGAGCAGGGTTGTTGCCCCCACCACCAATGCTAGCAATGGGACGAAAAGGTGGCCCTCGGGACACACGTCCAGTTGATCCAATGACTGGGCATGTTATGGCGCCTGAAAAACCAAACACTGCGAAATTAGAAGTAGACACTGAAGGAGATGAAGTTGAGCAGGAAAAAAATTCGAAGAGTCCATAATCCTTTTACAACGTTTCTGCTTTAGGATCTATTCTTCCCGTCCCCCACTTTAATTTAAAAACAAAAATAATATAGAATTGAGCACAATTATCCTTCGATGTCCTTCCGGGTTCTTCTCTCACCTGCAGAAATGGAACAAAGTTTTGTAATTTTTGTTGGTAATGTATTGTAGAGATTTTTCATTTTTTTGATGAATTTCTATTCATCTAATCCATATCCAGCAAGGGGCCTTGATTTGTTCTTGGATAGGTCTCGGTAGATTGATTTGCACAAGAGAAGGTCCAAAGGACAGTCTCAAGAAATAGAAGAAAATTGAGGTGTGCATCAGGTACACAATCAAAATGGACAGTTATGTTTCTGTTGTGATGGACTCCCTACTTTCCCTATCCTATTTCACTAATGTTGGATTCGATATGACTCAATTTTGACTCCAACTTATTATAATGTAAAAATATTATTTCAGGATTATATAATATTGGAAATTGTTCATAAAAGGCTGATTTGAGATCTTGATCCTAACATGGAAAACCCAAATTTGAATCCAACTTTTATGTCAATAAAATTATTCAGGATTCTATAATATTGAAAATTGTTCATAAAAAGATGATGTGAGATCACATGAAAACCCACGGAAAGATTGGGTTTTCTTCCCGGTTTCTCTCATTTTCCATTTTTCATTGAAAATCAGACGATGGTTCTTCCTGAAAATCTGTCTTTTGTGCAAACTTATTGAATTTTCACTGCTACTTAAAAAAGAGTTTTAAGGAATAAAGATACATTTCATTTTGGAGTTGAACAGGTGAAATTCAATCATATTTACATGTCAAAAATTCAATCAACCTAATATTTACTAAAAGTATCTATTTTGTCGATTTAAGATTAACATTTTGAACCACAACCCTAGACATTGTCACCAAATTCCTTTCAATTAAATTCATTAGAAATCAACATTGCAATTATCATCATATTCCTATAGCATCACTAAAGTTATCATAAGATTGTCGTATCGATATCTTGATCACATCATCGTATCGTAAATACTGTGGTGTAGAGACCATGTTCTCAAAATATAGTACTATATTGTCACACTCACTACTATAACATCATCGTATTGTAACATTCTATTAAAACCATAATCATTATTTGTGCAAGAATGAACAATTTTTGTAATACCTAGCCAACCCAGTCAATCATTTTGCATTGGTACATGAATAAATATTTTTCAAATGAGAACAATAAAACTAACAGAACGTGATCAATTTCTAATTAATACAAGATACTATAGTGACTATTACTCTTCAGCTTAAATAATCTATGTAGTCCAACGAGCTCTTACAAATTGACATCTCCAAGTCTTTGATGAGAAAAAGAAAAGAATACAGCCAAAGAGAATATGTAGGATACTGAAGACTGCTTATAAAATATGTGATGATCCAAGGATAAAATGCAAAACTGATCATTCACGCCCTTTTCATGCCAATCGAAATTCAAGCACACCAGTCAAAGAATCCAATTACCAAAGTCACTCTACTGTTGTTTACATTCAGGAGGCCT